ATATTTGGATAGAAGCCAATTAGATAGGTGGTTCAAATTATTATAAATTCTGATAAGAAGAGCACAGTTATACCCAAAGTGAAGAGCTTGTAAGGATGGTAGGCCCAAGCCACCATGATGTTTCGGTTTACAAGTATTCTTCTAGGAAATCATGTGCAATTTCCTTGATCTTTTCAACACATAGTAATCAATTCTCTGCTTTAATCAGTACTTTAGTCCTTGTTAATATTGGTGGTTGCAGGTTTTAGAATAACTTTAGACATTTGTCTATTCTGGTGATATTATTATTTCCTCTATGTTGAGATCTTGAGTTTTGGATCAATTTGTCATTGCCACCATCATTTGGATAAGAACATTAGTGTTCAACATCACATTAGGTGATACTTCATCTTCTATGATGATTTTATCTCTCATGTCATCTTGATTATTCATATGCTTGTGATATATAAAATAATATTAATTAATTAGAATTAGCATATCATGTAACCAAACATCTTAAATTTTATATGAAAATCCCTCATTAATCATCATAATGGATTTTTCGTTATGATTATTATTTTCTAATTCAATTTTGTTCTTGAACCACTTTTGTCATGACTCGGCTTGAAAACTTGGGTAGGAACTGAGTGTTGGACGAAGTTTTAATCGCATTTAACAAATATTCATGCATTTTTAGTTTTTACAATTTCCAATATATCAAAAGAGCTATTGAATTACAAAATTCTTTCTAAATAAAAATTGTAGCAATTCTACAGTAAGTACCTTTTTCCTATGATGACACATTTAGGTTAAATTGATTTTCTTATTTCACTCATTTAGTTCTTGATATCTAATTACAATGAGTTGTTATAATTCAGTGGATATATCACATCTCTATACTATAATAATGTAAAGAATATTAAAAATAATATGTATATTTGTCATAATAAATAAACTAATATAAATCATTTAGTAATTATGTTTAGTCAAAGATGATAATGTAAAAGTTTTAAACATTCCTTGTACATAACCATATCAAAACAATTCTCATGCCTTTTTTTGTGTAGTATAACTGTTATAGGTTCATCATCTAAATTATATCATTTAAGGTACTTCCATTTCTATTTCATTCTTCAAACATTTTTTATTTTATGCAAGATGGTATGCTGTGTCTCCAGCTAGTACTATAAGAATGTGAAGTTCTATCAACAAGCATGTGCAATCACTTTTATATATTTATTTTCACTCACATTTTTCCATTTTATACAATACTTTTCGATGTTGTGCACTATAATTATTTGAAATATGATATGATAATTATCACCTATTTCAACGTGATCAATCATTGTAATCTTAAAGATAAACCATGATTTAATTTTGAATAGTAATTAATTGAAAAGTATCAGTATCATACTATCATTTAATGCAATTGATTTAGAAGTAGTATTATTACTATAAATTAAAAATATGATTACTTACCTCCATTTCAGATGACTTGCCTTTCCTCCTTAGTCATTAAATTCTGCCTTTTTCAATTGAATGCCTATAATCATTCTTATGAATATCTTTGTTTATTACTTTATTTAAATCATACATATTTATTTTTCCTTAAATAACTATGCTGTCTCTAACCTTTAACATCCTTAATTTATTGTATGACATGAAATTAAAATTTTATTATTATCTCTTTTAATTTTGTTAAAAGTAATATTCTTTTTAACATCTTAAACTTATTATTTAAAGTACAACTTTAACATTGAACATATCAACCTCTATATTTAGGCATATTAAGGTTATAATAACATTCTAAATATAATTCCTAGACTCCTAGTTATATGCAATCTTAATTTCATAATTTTTCTTTCAAAAGCTTAAACTTAAAACTTAGTATTTATTTTGTGTTGAAAGTTAGAAGATAAGGTTTCTTAACTTACATCTTCATTCTAAATTTAAGATAAAAGAATCTACTTTCTATAAAAGAAAGTCTACCATTCTTGTAATCAATTCGGCACAATCCCTTGGCTTGACCGTTTGATCAATTCACCCAATTTTTTTCATGGTTTATATGGCTTTGTCCCTTATTGATGATGATGAATTAGGCTTCATCCCCTCTCTTGATCTATACCTATCCCTCTCAGTCTCTTGCTATTTATCTCCGTCTCTTCCTCTCTTCCCCATCGCTCACTCTCTATATCCCTTCTCTTACTTTCTTTCACCTTTTTTATGTGGGTCGCTCTTGACATCCCGCTCGGCTCCCATTCTCTACCTAGTGTTTCTTCTCCCGTTCCATAGTGCCTCTTATAGCTGTAAAGGGTGAAACCAATTGATGTCGGTTCAATTTAACTTGCACAAGTTGGTTGATTTTACTTTTTTTTTTCTACAAAATTTTGCAACATACTTCTTGATTTGGTTGTTGGCTTCATTGTGACGATACCACTTTATTATGTTACGGCTTAAGCATAGTTATTCCCCAATGACTTAAGCCTATTAACCATATGCCATAAGATACATCTAATAGGGTTTTGTAATCTTTGTTAGCTAAGTTTGGCTTAAAAATTTTCCCTTTAACAAGCTATCATATTGAGTCTATGGGATCCCATTGAACAATACAACTTATAGATATTGAAAAAAGATCCTTTAATTAAGTTGGATCGACTATCTTCACAAAGAGTCTGTTTGGGATAGCTGCAACTATTTGTAATTATTGTGTGGAAAAACATTGTTTTGAAAGTTGCTTTATATATTATAGATTTTCTTTCATCGAAAAAAGTGCTTTCATATTTAGTCTATGGGATCCCATTGAACAATACAACTTATAGATATTGAAAAAAGATACTTTAATTAAGTTGGATCGACTATCTTTACAAAGAGTCTGTTTGGGATAGCTGCAACTATTTGTAATTATTGTGTGGAAAAACATTGTTTTTGAAAGTTGCTTTATATATTATAGATTTTCTTTCATCGAAAAAAGTGAAGAAACAATTATAATCTAGCAAATTTTGTTGTTAAAAGATCATTTACAGTATAATAATTTTAAAGAGCAGAAAGAAAGTTTTAGTAAAATAAATTTGTGGCGGTGGTCTATATAAAGCTGTGCAAAATAATTGTTCCAACTTCCAAGTGCACAATAAGTAGATCTGGGTACACGAAAACTTGAAACAAGGGAACCATACATTTTGTTCGGGTTTGTCATCATTCTCTCACAATATAATCTAAGCTAATATGGATATACTTGCTTTCCCAAATCAACTTACTATTACTATAAACAAAGCATTATAGAGTCTAAACTTTAGCCTTGAATGAAAATTTTATCTCATTATTGATAGGGGTTATTGATTATAGGGGTGTAGGGAAATGGTAGATCAGATTATTAAGTCCTCATTAGATGTAAAAAACTTTAGGTATTGTTTCATCTAAAATTTCAATGTGCCTTCAAAAAATCAATTCTGGCATGAACTTGAATATTTCAACCGACTTGGGTCGGGATATTTAGTCCTCACAATAATCTACCAATATAAAACTTGAAATTGAACTCGGTGATGGTTAATTGGTTATTTATATGATGTTAGGTAAAAGTTCTCAATTTCTAATAGTCAATCCAAGAAGGCATTTTGATCGTCTTGTAGGGGTACAAGTTATTCCTATCTTAATATAACTAAGGTGCACAACAAACATACATGGCTTCATCATTTTTCTCTTCTTGAAAGGATTTTAATGCGCAAGTGGCTCTCAAGCTAATGGATTATCCTCAATAAAATGACCATTGCCATAAAATGGATTGTTACCCCACGATTTTTGTTGGGGTGATGGTTGATAAGCTCCTACCTGGAACATTTCCAACATCATCTATGGTCATGCCTTTTTATTGAGGTGCAGTTTGACCGAAATGTTGGACTAGCCAGCTCTTTTAAGGCCTAATAATCTGGTTCATTTATAGGTTAAATTTGAGTTCTTGTGGTTGATATTTCTATATTATAATTTATACAGTTTCCATGTGGATTGAGGAGGATACCATGAGAGGTTCTTCACTAAAATTCTTTGGAGTTTCAGCTGTGATTCTTTGTATTGGTTGCATGCTGTGAACAGCAAAAATACCATTTTCAAGTCTTAGAATTCAGCCCACGAAGAGGTGTTGGATGCTTTGAGCCAATGTAGATGGTTCATTCAGGTGCTCTTTGTTTGGTTCATCCAATTGAGACTAGGATAAGAGTTTGAATTGAAAATTTGAATTCGAATGATTGAAATTCAATTAGTGAATTTTAAATGTCAAAATTTTAAATTTGAACCGTGGATATGGCTCATGATTTGGTAAGGAATACTGTTAGGTTGAGAAAGATGTGGTGGTGGTGATGTTATTGTTGATTGTTATGATGATGATGGAACATTGATGGCGGTGGTAATAGTTTTGGTGACTAATTATTGAAGTTATCCAATAATTCATCATTAATCCAATAACAAACCCATGGGCACAGGAAGGGCCGATGGGTAATTACTTATTAAAACTGTTCTGTTTAAGATTAGTTCTAAACAAAATTATATAAAATAAATTTAAAAGTAGTCAAGATAACTTATGCTAAGTGTAAACTAAATACATCAACTATCAAAGCCAAAAACCTATCAATAAGCACATCGAAGCCCCACATACAAATATTGATTGGACGGTTGCCATTAGTTAGTCCTGGAAGAACTTGAGTGTAAGGCACCCTCATTCAATTGATCTGAAATTCTCTGGCTGAAATTAGAAGAAAATGAGTATTTATGAATTTTTTGGAACTTCTTCCTGTAGGTTTCTATGATATTTCAAAATTAACTTATTTGATGACTTGTAATATGTTGCTATTTTTGTGAGAACTGTGTTGAATTCCTACTTTCCGAAGGTTGTTTATTCAACTGGAATATGGTTATGAGTGTTATTTCTGTTCTTTGTGATATTGACTGTTATTTGACTCCTTGCCACAATTTGTTCCAAGTAAAATTATGTCTGGATCATGCAGAATGTTAGGTATCATTTGTGTTAACAGGTCCTATTTCAGAATGATTCTCCTGCTACTTTGCTTGCTCGAGTAATTGGCATCATTGGCTCCATAGAACAAACAATGCTCGCTAAAGGACGCGATACATACAAGTATTTTACTAAAAATCACATGTTATACGAAAGGAACCAGGTTTGAAATTCTTCTTTTCCTATATATGCAATATGTTTTATGTATTGGTATTAACAATATTCAATAGAAATTAATTGCCATCTGCTTTCTTTTACGATTAATTTACCTTTTAAACAATGTAATTTGTCCTTGGAAATATTTCCATTTTCTAAGGTAGGGCATCGTTGTTGAAATTAACTTCCGTAGCTGCTGAGTTCATACGAAAACTGATGCATAAATCATTTGATTTTTTTTTTTGGGTAATTTTTGGTTGATTGAACCATATCGAGAGGGTTTAAGGCAGTACCAAGTGTTAAATCTCCGTGTATCTCAACTAGCCGTGGAAAATTTTGTTGGTAAGGCCTAACCAAAACTGAATTTTAGACAACAAACCTCAATATCTATGCTACTTTTTCTTATATTTTGTTTTAAAGTTTGAAAAATGAAAATAGGAGCAGATGCAGTTTATGAGTATCTTCAATTTAATGAAATAGTAAAACATGCGTTATTAAAAATAAATGTCTGATTACATGATTTGAATAATATTTATGATTCAAATAGATCAGGAATATAAATTTTGGTATACTGTATTATGCTTCAAAGAGTAGAGAATCCTATTCTATGTGCGCAATAACAATTATTTCTCATCACAACACCTCAGTAATTTTTTTTTTTCTTCGTGCATTAAGATTAAATTCTTATCTGATATGATATATTTTTATCAACTAACATCTAAAAGGATTCATTCTTATTTGCATTATTTTAAAAGGCAATGCACGAAATTTCCTGTTTTTTTTTTATTGGAATGATTAATTCTTGTCAAAATTTTTATTATAATTTTCAATCAAATGTTTTAAGCGTTTTTTCATTTTGCTAGGTTTTTCAAATTTGATAAATTAAAAAATAATATAGAGGAAATTAATTAATTTAGCCTTCCATCTACTTTCAAGCACTCTATTTTTAGTGACAACCATTTACCCCAAATGAAGAAGTGGATCGAAAGTGGAGCAAAGGCAGGACAAAATTTGTTAATTTTACTGTTTTACCTCATGCTCTGACACTTCCATTAACAGTTGCCTTTTTAGCTTTTCAATGGTTTTATATAATGCTAGAGGAGTTTTTGTATTTCATTTTGAAATATATGAATCTATAAATAAGCATTACTTGTACTAGTGATGTCAAAGTACAAATTTACTATTTCTAGACATGAAACATCTAAATCCTCTTGAATAGAATAGAAAATACCTCAAAATTCTAGAAAAAATATTATTTTATATTGTAAATGTGAATGGAAAATTTAATAACTAAAAGTAAAATAGGAATAGTTCTTTAAAAATATGGGAAATGACAAATTATTGCGGTCTGATCGTCTTAATCCTCAAGATGGCATGAATATTACTGCAACTGTGAGGATAAATCCTAGTGGGAGAAAGTTCGGACAATCAGACAGTCTTATCTTACTCTAAAAAGAAAGGACATTAGTCATTGATATTTTGCTTAAGGGGATGATTTAAAATAAATGTGTAAAAACAGCCATGCAATCCGAGTAAGATCCCTTGAATTTGAGATGTGCTTCAATACAAAAAAATCAAGGTGTTTATTTTTAGTGGATGCCTTGTTATGCCAAAAACAATGAGCAAGGTTTCAAACCAAGAGGAGGGAGGAAAGGGGTAACTGAAAAGTGAAAACTAGAGAGTAAAAGGAAAATAATTTGGATAACTGGGTATAAAATTAAAAGAATTCCTTTATTTTGAGTGTCAAATTTGGCCTTATAATTAGGAACAATTATTACGTCCTCTGACCTGACGTAGAGGTACGTTCGGCCGCGAATAACATATCGCCACGTGTTCTTACTCTTTATCGCGCGGCCCGACGACTTGACCCGGAGCGGAACCCAGAAATGCTTTATTTTTTTGCTCAGGATTTGCTCGGGATTTGCTCAGGATTTGCTAGAAAAAACTAGGTACAACTCAGTATTTGCTTAGGATTTGCTCGGTATTGATAGGGATTTGCTCGGTAGTGCTAGGTATTTGCTCGGTATTGCTAGAAAAATCTAGGTACAACTCGGTACAACTCAGTATTTGCTCAGGAGTTGCTTGGTATTGCTAGGGATTTGCTCGGTAGTGCTAGGTATTTGCTCGCTATTGCTAGAAAATCAAACCAAGAGGAGGGAGGGAAGGGGTGACTGAAAAGTGAAAACTAGAGTAAAAGGAAAATAATTTGGATAACTGGGTATAAAATTAAAAGAATTCCTTTATTTTGAATGTCAAATTTGGCCTTATAATTAGGCTTTTGAGGTTTTCTTAACAGGTATAGTGGTAATGAGTTTAATGCTGGCACCCTTATGCTTGTTTCTCATTTATAATGGATGAATGGGCCACATTGGTCATGTAATGAAAGGTCTTTCGAGGAGGTTATATGCTACATCTATTGGTTAAACATTGCATTATATTTTTTCTTATATACTTTCAGACAAAATTGAAGAAAATTGGTTGAGTATGCTTTATTTCAATATAATTCATACAATCCTAGGAAAGTGTCTGATAGGAAAAATATGAAATTAAGGAATAGACTTAACTTATAAAGTAATTACAATAGTTCACAGATTGATGTGTAGGTAAGTAACTATTCCATTGATCAATGTGATGGTAGCAAGAAAGAGGGCAAAAGTCTTGATGAATGTAGGGCTTTAGCTGATGGAGTTTCAACACATGTTAGCTAGAAGTTGGAGTTGGCTGAGGGTGGATCCCTGGGCGGAAATTATACTGGCTTATCAAACTCTTCAAGTGAATGAATGGTTATCCATTGCAAGCTTGCCTAATAATTTTGGAAAGACTATTCTTGATAATCATTTGGTGAGAATGTTAGTAAGTTGTCACAAGTAAATCTTTGATTTCAAATGGATTATAAATTAAATTGATATCAAAATTCTCCTTTATAATATAACTAAGAACTTTATATTTTGTATGGACATGTTGCACAAGATTGTGCAATATTGATGGTTGACTTGTTATTCTAATAGAACCTCTTATGATCAATTTATTCAACTTTCAAATCTTTCATTATAATTTGTAGCCAAAATCATTCATGTATTCCTAGTGTCGTAGATTTAAACTCAGCTTTTTTGCTCGATCTTACTTTCTCATTTTGTATTTTTACTTCTTCATGTCACAAGATTGCTTTTCTAAGAATGCACAAATCTTGTCATTCATTTAAATCGTATAATATGCATTTTTGTATGCTTTAAGGGCCTCCTCTATTTTGAATGGTATTTCTTTGCCAATGACACTCTTCAAATATTGTCGAATTATATATACTGTCATAAGGTACTATTCTTTAGGATTATGCATGACCTAACTCATCATAGAAACAATATAGACCATGTTAAGTCTAGAATATGACAAGTAGTTAAGTCTTCCCACCAGTTCGTGGTATGAGATTTTTTTTCTATTGTTATCTCTACTGTAGCATCTTCAAATTTATGATTAAATTTCACGAGGCTCTTGACGTTTTTGCATCATAACTTACCTGTTTCTTTTAACATGTACGTTATGTATTTTTGTCGTGTTATGAAGATTTCATATCGAAAGTGTGCACTTTTATTATGTGCTTAAATTGCCAAATTTTCATTGAAGTATTTGAGATTTCTTTTGATGCTTCAAGTGTTAACATTGAAGGTGTTTCAAGTTAAGATGGGCATCGATTCACTTTTTGTGAGAAATTGAATGAAGCAAAGCAAAAGTATTTCAACTATGGTCAAGAGTTCATGCAATGTTACATTCTCTTGTAAAATGTAGATATTATTTAATACATGGAATTTTTAGATTTTCTTGACCATCACTCTCCTAAATATTTAAAGTAAAAAGAGTCAAACATTGCTAAATGGTTTAGACTTCTACAAATGTAGATTGTTGTGCTTTAAAAATGGGGCGTAAGCAGGAGAGATGTACTTGATGAAACTGAGGAGAATCTAATCAAAGAGACATTTTCCATCACACCCATCTTGACTTTTACTAACCAAGATTGAGTGATTAGAAATTTTTTTTGCCTAGATCATCATATATCATTCATTATAGTTCATCATTATTTAACAATTTAATTATAAACATTAATACGGATGTGTGCATAAATAAAATCTTCAAATTGAATTATAGAGCTTTAAAATAACTTCATATATAAATTTGTACTTACTAGAAGTTTTTAATTTACATCGTATGCATTTTTCATTTTAAATTATATCCAAGACTATGCAATCAAAATTATTATGTACAAGCAAGATGGGATCTCTGAATAGGGCTCAAGTTGCTATTTTCTCTTGCTTGAAAGTTTGAAATCATAGTTATAATATCCCATGAGCTAAAATTTTAATATTTAATTATGTCTCATACTTGATATTAAACAACTTTAAAATTTGAATTAATAAAAATTATCTTGAAATTATTTAAACAAATGATTATATAAAAATGCAATAGTTTTAATTACAAATCAGGTGCTAATTACATGTTCAATATGAATAAATTCTATATAATATGCCAATTAACTTAAAGAAATTTGTAAATATTATTCCCATGAATAGTTTTCTCCTTATATTAGAGATTGAGCATCTCATCATAATCGTCGGTTTTTTTCGCGACATATTTCTTAGGGGTGTCAATATTTGAAACTCGACTTAGACCCAACCTGAAAAATTTTGGGTTCGAGTCAACCCATTTGCCAGATGGGTTGAATTTGGGTTCAAGATTCTAACATGTTTCTTAAACAAGGTCAAGTTCGGGTTGACCCAAAAACCCGAAGGTGACCAGAATGCAACCCGGGTGGGTGACGACTAAATGTTCTCTCTCATTCTCTTCTCGATTCCCACTCACATCCAGCCCAAACTGAAACCGTGCTTGCGTCGCACCCAGCGCGTGATTGCTCGCACTTCGCACTTGCATCGCGCTTGCGTCACATCCATCTGTGCCACGCTCGCACCCCGCACGGTCGCTGGCTGCTGGCCACATCTGCAAGGGCACCCAGCATTCGCGCTCGCTCTTGTGTCACGCAGCTTGCGCCTTGTCCTCACCCGCACGCGTTTCGCACGTAGTTGGCTTCTCATAACTCGGGTTTAGCAGGTCAGGTAGGGTCAACCCGGAAACCCGATGGGTGGGGCCAATGTCTGAATTCCTAACTCGTTGGTATAATCGGGTCGTGTTCGGTTTAAATTAGTTGAACGCGGGTTTGGACCCGAATTTGACCCGAAAACCTATTTTGACACCCCTAGATAATCAAAGACTGCCACCACCTCAATAAGATACCTCGATCAATCCAAAAACTTAAACCACATGTTCCATATGCAGTCATAAAAACGATCCCCTTAAAAGCCAAAACACACTAAACGATGAATCCAAATCCCATTGCTTAACAACAAATTCATCAATCCTAGTAAAAACATAAACTATTAATTCTATTCCATTTAATAAATTCCCCAATATAATACTAGATTTCATCATCCATCTTCAAAAAACTACCAAAAGAATCTTAGACAGCCATAAGGCCACATAAATGATGAGATAAATATTTTCGAAACATTAAGCCAGTCAATTTGTCCATAATTATGATTTCCAAGATAACCATAATTGAATTAATCAGAATTCATATCAAATCATATGAATCAACCTATTGCTGGAAAAGCATCTACATCTCTTTGTCAAAGCCATCATCATTGATATATTTTCATTACAGAAGTTACAAAATAAAAAGGTAAACCGACTAATAAAAAACAAATTAATCGTGCTCAGATCAATGTTTGTTTGATGCTTTTGATAAGAATAAAAAAACAAATTACAATAACTAGTACAAACAAATGCTTGAGTGTTCAAACCCAGTTATAGTTGTAGGATGATCAAATTGTAACATAACAACCCTTTTCCTCTAATCTGTTTAATTTCTTCGCTTGTTTACCTGAGTTTATTTAATCACCTTTTAACCAGGAAACAAACCGTTTGGAGTACTTGATCCCCAAGAAAACATCCTTGCGACATCGGTTACCTATGGGCGATCAGGGCTTCATCGATTTTGTGGCTCATCTTCTCGAGATAAATCCGAAGAAGCGTCCAAGCGCGGCAGAAGCATTGAAACATCCATGGCTATCTTATCCTTATGAACCTATATCATGCTGAGTGTTTCTTGTGGAAGAAGACAGAGACATAAGCCTTAAGCACCCAAATTGGTTCCCACTGCAACAAGCTGTGCTGGGTTTATTTGCGATTGCATGGATCTTCCTGTTAGACCAAGAGGAGCTTGAGGCTACCATTTTTTCTCCTTTTTCTTTCTTTCTTTCTTTTACTACCTTATTGATTGAGCATGTTCTTGAAGGTGTATCGTATGGTATGGGATGGCAGAAAGTGCTTACAGTTCTTGTTCTAACTTGCAGCTATTTGTTGTCAGCCACATTGTAATCTTATATAGAATGCATTAGGTCAGGTGTTTTTGAATGGGGGCATTGTCCTCTTGTATATGATGTGATTATATTTTAGGGGGATATTTACTCTTTAGAGAACTGCATTATTTTCTCTTCTTCTTTTGTTTTTTGTTAGTTTTGTGGCTTCACTTAAACTTCTGGGGCTGGACTTCACTTAACTACTCTTATACTTACTGTTTAAGATTGCTAATGTATGGAAGGAGCTTTTCAATGTCAGATATGAAGTATTAGGCTGAGTAGAAAGGTTTATAGTAGTTATATATGTATTGATATAAGTCATCTGGGTCTGTTGGTTGGGTGGTTAGGCTATCAATTAAGAGGTTTTGAGTTCGTGATTTGTGTGTGAGTCTTTGTTGGTTTGGAGCTTAAGCTATCAACTAAAAGGTTTTGGATTTGTCATGTGTGTGTGAGTTTGTCTTAATTGACCTAAATGTTCGAAAAAAAAGTTATATGTTTTGTATGAATGGCAAATGAAATGAATTAAGGTGTTCTTATATTGATTGACATGAAATGGCTGTGGTTGCTGTCATTTGTGCATCTTGTTTTAAACTTGCTACTGACTGGAGCTGGGATCCTTTAAAAATGCATCTTTTTCATGAATTTTTTATTCATAATATATTATTATTATTTTAAATTTATCTTGTTTTAATGAAAAATTATATTTTAAATAAATTTTTTATCTTATTTTTTCATTAAAATTAGAAAGTAACTTAATTTTTAGTAAATATAAAACAATTACGTTATATTAGAAGCAATGTAATTTAAAAAACTAAAAATGATGTTATATTTATTAAAATTAAGTATGAATTTTTATTTATTTATTATTGAAAAATAAGATATATATATATATATATTCTATCTCCTGCATCAGCTTCCAAACCTTTAAATTTTGATGGAATAAAGCATATCAAATAGCTTGACATCACAAAGATTAATACTAATATTGATATTAATTTGAACGTCAAACTTCATCTTCTATAGTACCTAGAATGAATTAGATAGTTTCTTTAGCATCATTTCTTATATGTGCTACATCAAAATTTGACAATAATTACCTATCCATTAAGAGGGAAATTATAGATTCGAAATGGGATGAAAAATTCTTTCATCCCAAATGAAGACATTCCTCTTTGAAGAGGAAGACTAAGACCTCCATTATAATGATGCAAAGTCTTGACAGTTACTCAGAACTAGACAAATATGGGGTGATTCAATACTGCTTATAGAGAAAATATTATAGCTTGTAAAATGAGAATACTTTGTATATATATGACAATGTTCTGTTCTACTATGAATTAAAATTAGAGTCTACAAAGAAGGAATCGAGATATGTGAATTTCTTACTTTGAGTGGCAGAGCATTGGAACATGAAAGAAACATGCTCATCTCATATCCAGGATAATATCATATCGGAATTGGAACTAAAAAAAAATGAATTATGCATCACCTATATAAGTCAGTAAAAAATTTTTCTTAGGAGAAAATTGGGCATACAATAAGAGGTGAAGTGAATGTTAGAGAGAGAAATTATTTTAAGAGTGGAAGAGAATATGACAAAGAAGAGGAATTTTTTATTATATTTCTTTCTCTCTTACATCAAAATGATAAGATTTAATGTCTTTTTATACTTGTACAAAGATAATTCTAGACATACAATCTCGAAATTTTCATAATAAAATTCAACTACCAACCATCAAAAATAATTTCATATTCTTGATATTTCTTCTATACAATTTCCTAGATAGATAATTTATTTTGGTATACATTTTCAACAGTGAATTCCCCCATATTATGGGCAAATTATTCTGTGTGGACGCCGAATGCCATCCAAAGACTAACTAGAATGCACAACGTCACCCTCGCTTGGTACCTCGGCTCAGTACCGCACTCAGTAAGGTTGACATGACGCATTCTGGTTGGTCTCCAGATGATGGCACAAAATAATTTCTCCCTATTGTGAGGGGGGATTTATAATTGGAGGAGATGTTGAAATTACAAAGTACATAGTTAAAAAAAGAAAGTAAAAAATTATCTTTTTTAACGTATACAGTTATTAAAAAAATTGGCTATATGCTGCCTTAAACACTTGCTGTTGCTGGCAATTAAGCTTCAGCAACTCCGACTGTCGACTGACCTAACTTGCCCGAACATCCATTTTCTAAGATTTTTTTTTTTCTGGAATTTTTTCAATTTTCTCGACTCAATTTTGATATTTTTGAATCTCAACGAAACCTCCACGGCTACTTTTGAGTAAATATGATGAATTTAGAGTAAAAAATTTCAATATTTTTTTCTTCAACAGACAAGCCGACTTTATAAAAAGCTAAAATTATAATTAAATATATTTTAGTTAGTTCACAGCTCTAAGGGATGTCTACACTGACATCTAAAGAGCAAACACACATTATAATTTTTTTCTGTAATTATAAGTTAGTGCATAAAGCTTTCTTATGGTTTATCATATATTTTGGGATGATATAAACTTAGATATTTTAAAATAGGTTGCAATAATATCTCTAAACAAAATCACTTGACCAACACAAATCTCTAAGTAATATTTGAATTGAAAACTTCTAAAATTAAATTTAGGACCATCCAAAAAAAAAATAAATGAACTAAACATCTTAATAAAATGACCTCAATGATTTCAAAAGTGATTCGATATGAGTCCAACTTAACCTAAATCAAATCAAGTACTTAAAGTACATATGAAACTTCTGCGTATTAATTGAAACAAGAGTTTCTAAATCTTATATGGTTATAACTAAATTGAGTAGTTTGATAAGAATAATTCAATGAATTCAAGATCATTCAATTTTGAGGTCATTAAGGTATGTAATTGCTAGATAAATTATCATTGATCAATGGAATTAATATTAATATTTTGTTAGAGTTTTTATTTTGGCCAAATTTATCAAAATATTTATCTCAAAAAGCTATAAATAATACTCTACTTTTTATGCGAGGGGATTTTTTTTTTCTCTGAGTCATGAGATTTAATGAGCTCTATTTCAATGTCAGACTACTATTATCAATAACCATAATCAACAACATTGATTACTAACATCCAACTATGTCATTCGACTATTCAATTATGGACACTCGTTCTCTATTACATTATAATTGATTGATTGAAAATGTATAGTAATCTCTTTAAAGCAAATGAGCAGGAATCATTAAGTTATAAATCAAAATGCGCTACATCACTTGATGTATGACAATACATAATATCGATACACAATAAAATAATAACATGACACAACTTTATTAACCTCAGGACGGCATCAGATGACCACACATAATAATTTTGCCAATAGTACTATCTCAAGACACCATTGTTCATTTTAGGCTCCACTACTAATCTTTCATCAAACGGAGGAAAAATTATTTAAATAATATTCACATGAAGCCATATGGGGGCCGATGCCTTATTATTGTATTGTTGATTATTGTTATGAACAAAATATTTATTATGAACATTCTATATCTAACGCATCAAAAAATAAATATGTAGTACTATTTCACGAAACCGTTGAATGCTTGCTGCAAGAAGAAAGAACGAGCGCATATATCCAAAGAAAATCGATCCATTGCTCAGAGAAACCAAATTAAAGCATAACGAACATATCTTGAGTGCAATACCTCCTTCGCGAGTCGCGAGTATTTTCGGTTCACCGAAATTGAAAGAAAGAAATGACGAATAAAAGTAACAACTATGCTAGAAACTATACGTTCACCTGATCCATTGCGTCGAAATCAAATGCCCTCGTCAAAATCTATAACAGCCCAACTCGTGGGGGCAGCCACCGGAATCAAGGGGCATTCGCTTGTGTCGACAGCGTTTGGATCCCCACAGGTTTCAAACTCGGCGGCGGATGCTGGCCTGGTTTTCGATGAACCATGATCAGGAACCCCGCCCTCCGGATTGCCCAAGATCGCCGCCGACGCTATATCAGCAAGGTACAAGTGCGGGAGTGGTAGGTATAGGCTGTGAACAACGATCTTGGCGTTGCAGACCACATCGAGTTCCTTGATCGGAACATAGTTGATCCTCAGGCTGCCAGACGATAGCCCAGCTCCGGTCTGCGTCAACACCAGGTGCTGGCCGTGGACCAGAGTCGGAAGCATCGTGCCCTGCCTCAGGCTCATTAGATCGGAACGCATCAAGACCCGGTTCGGCACCACATGGAATCTCACATCGGTGAGGTATGCGTGACCGCCGGCAAAGATCGAGTGGTCGTTGAGGGCGAATACGGTCATGTTATTTAGACCGGCGAGTTCCGGGTACTTAACGCGCATTGCGAGAGCGAGGATGTTGTATCCTCCCTCGTGGAGACGGAGAATCGCGTCGCGAAGCATCAGGCGCATGATGGCCGTACTTCGGGGGTTAGGGCCGTCGTTGGCTGCGTCGATTTCAGGGGAAAAATCAGAGGGAAAGGATTCTTGCCCGCAGGAAGCGGTTGATAGTGGCGCGACGCAACCCTGAATGCCGTGAATGACGATCTGGCCGTCGTTGAAGAGATCGGGTTGGGTGATCTCGATGCCATCAACGAAGATATTGATGCCGGAGGAATCGCGATCAAGATCGTTTGATCCAACGGAGTTGTTGGATTTGGAGACGGCGCTTGTAGAAGTAATGCTGAGGCATCTCCCGGGTGAGGAGGTCTCGAGTTTGGCGCCGAAGGTGAGCTTGGAGAGGTAGACGCTTGAGAAGAGGCCGGGAACAAGGTGTTCTCGTAGGAGGCGGGGAGCCGAGAACGAGGGGCAGGAGCGGATGGAGTCATCACTGGGGGCAAAGAGAGTAATGGGACCGTACCATGAGGATAGAACGGGCGAATACAGAGCAGGAACGGCCATTGCGAGTTCGTGGAAGCCCAGGTTGGATAGGATCGGAGCGAGGAGGTCGGTGCGGTAGTGCAATTCTTGTGGAACAGAACGACGAGAGGCCATCGGAAGTGAGGAAGACGAAGGACGGACGGAGAGGAGAGCGAGAAGGGAGAGGAGGAGCGAGAGAGAGTTGGTGGGACGAAGAGGAGCCATAGTAAGAGAGCAGCAATGTGTACTGTGAGCAGCGGAGGATGCATGTCTCGGCTTTATAGCTGCGGATAGGAGCCAAAATGAATAAACGAGCTTGGCGGGATATGCAACAAATGACGATCGTACCCTTAATTTACTAGAATATTTCTGGTCTTTATCGTAAATTTATGGGCTCACTTTCGTCGTATATTACAATTTGCCATTCATGATTGGTGTGGAAACGGCTGCAACGACGTGATCGTCCTTACTCAGTACGGTTTAATTGACAATTTTCAATAGTTAGTTATTGCGCAAAGGAAAACAATAATGTCCAAAATTTCAAGTCTATTCAGTATTCATCAAGGAGAAATTAGGGTGTACACAATCCGAACATGTTTGGATGTACGTACACACTGTTTATTTTGTTGTATATTTTTTGATAAATAATTTTTTCGTGGCAAAATAAGTAGTAAATAAATAATACTCACTAAATACACAAAAAATACATAAAAAATACGTAGAAAAAATTATTTATAAAAAAATACGCAACAAAATAAGCAGTGTATACGCACATCCGAACACGTTCGGATTGCGTGCACAATAGTTTCTCTTCATCAAGCACTAAACTACTATCATCTTGATTTTGAATTAAAATTTTTAATATAGATGAATTGTAGAATATATATATATATATCTTGATTGCTCTTTTGATAATAAGGGAAATAGAACAATGGCTGAGATGGGTGTTAGGCATTAGTCATTAATAAGAATTGAATGATAATCTAAGAGATTGTCAGGCTTTAGTCTTTGAAATGTCTTAGGTGATGTTAGATAGGGGGCATTAGGATCGATTTGGGCAATATTGGGAAGTAAGCTCAATCATTCTCCTCATAAGAGGGAAAATCACATAATTGAAAGATAGTTATTGAGTGTTGGTGGGTGTCAGGCAATGGATGTCAATGAATGTCAGTCAATCAACCCAATCACTTTTCTTATTTGAAGGGAGGCTGAAAAATCATTGAGACATAGGAATTATACAATGGACAATGAAAGAATGTTGAAGGACTCAAGATGTTTGGTGATTGACTTGGTCACTATTCTTATAGAAGGGAATGTCAAGTGATTGAGAATATAGATGAAGTGCATCAAATGTCGATGCTTAATGAAAGTAAGACATTAATCGTTTGTTGGAATTAACTAATGGTTGAGTATAAATGTTAGAAATGATGCAGTGGCCAATAATTGACTTGATCATTCTACTTGTTATATTGAAGATCAAGTGATAAAAAGTTTGGTATTTCAAAGTGATTGCTAGTATATATTGGGTGTCAATCATTGGAAGACGTATGATGATGATTTAGTATAAAAATAAAAAGTCAAGTGATGACTAGTGATTGATTTGGTCATTTTTCTTGTAAGAGAGATAACAATCGACAAGAAAGATGGGAATTGGAATTTATAGTTGGCTTATGTCAAATGTTGGTTATTAATAGGCGTCAGACAATGATTGATTAAGAGTTCTAGAGGTTGAGTGGTTGGCTTGATTGTTCTCCTTGAAGGTGGGGAGCAATTGAGACAAAGTCAAAAGACATTAATGACAAATAAAAGTTTGGCATTTATTGTTGGTAGACATTAAACGATAATCTTCTATGAACATTTGAAGTCATCAAATGATGGTTAACAATTTATTTAATTGGTCGTCATTATCTTTATAAAGAGAGATAGTAGGTGATAATAAAAACATTTGATGTTTGTTGATGTTAGAATTATTGATAAAATTCATGTTATCCTTCAAATTCCTCGCCATCTTACATGTCCATCTTACATGTAGCAAGTTCCACTATTTCAAGTCTATAAGTCATCTTTGTTCTCAAGATTTCTCTTGGGATGGCCAGCTTAGAATGCCTCTTGTGATTGACTAAGGAACAATTCTTAGGTGTCCTCTCTTTGGTGGCTTCCATGTATTCCATACATATACAAAATCCTTTTCGTATTCGATTATTAGCAATTGCAACAAAAATTCAATTATCATTTACATTAAACCTCATAGTATTATTATTATTATTATTTATATAAATTTCACTATACCTTTCACAACCCAACCCGATAAGAACCATTCAGGCCAGATTCTTAAAACAACTACTAAATCGAATTCTTCCTTTTCCCAACCCTAAAAACAAAATGCAAAACACCTATGAGCTAAAACAGCTCAACATGCCACATTTTAACTGATCTAAATTCTCAAATTATTTTCTTTATTAAATATTCACTAATTATTAAAAGCGGGACCGATTAGAGAAATAAACGTAGCTATCAAAACTTCACCTTAAACTAATAAATGTAGTTTTCAAAACTTAGTCAAAATACAAAAGCTCTTTATATATCCCTCTCAATGAATAGAGTTCAATAACTCTGACCCTTATCATTCTCAATAGACATAGTTCAATAACTCTGAGCAACATACATAGTTCAATAACACTGAAGTAGGATGTGCATATATTATCATAATCAGACTTCTTCCACCAATTTCAGATCTCTATAAAATCACCCATTTCATCTAATTATGCACATATTTCAATGTACTATAGTGATTGATGCATAAATAAACACATTTCAAAATTTACCAAAATGTCCTAATAGTAGGCAATAAAAAATCTCACTAAACAAATATACTTATTTTCAAAAAATAATCAAAATATCAGAGATTGTGCATAATACTATTTAAAATTTTAATTGTACTATAATAAAAAGTTTGGAAGGGCTCTATTTGTGTATTGGATATTCGTATAAAGTTAAAACACTAAACTTTATATCTCTTTACTACCACGAATATTCTAAGATGTAGAAATACTAATTATTCAACTTTTAATTTTAAATCCTTTTATGCCTTCAAATCTGGTGATCCCAAAATTATGAAAAAATATTCATAAATTAGCTAAGAATGTTTAAAAGACTCTTGTGAAATTAGTTTGCAAAACAGACACCTAATAGTCCTAAAATCCTTATTTTGTACTGACAAGTACTAATTTTTTAAAGAAATTTTGCATAAGAGCTAAACTTATGAAAAAAATAGTAAAACTAGAATACAATAATATTTTTGTTATGACAAATTAAAATAGTTTGTGATTGGGGCTTATAACGATTCATGAAATAATTTTTAAATATTTTAGGACAAAAAATCTTAAAAAATAAAGGGTTTTCACATCTATATTAACTAGTGAGAATAGTCCTTTCTAAGTAGTAAATTAAAATGGTTTCCTTTGTGAAGTAAAAAAATATGGCAAAAGATAAGGCCAATTTTAGATGTCGACTATATCAATGGACATAAAAGACAAAATGTTAAGTAACCTGGAAGCTATTTAGACATTTTTTTTGTTGATTAAATTCTTATATGTTTCTAATCAATCTATCTTTGTATGTTAATTCAAAAGAATTAGCTTCGTTACATTCCTTCTCTTATTCTTTTTATAAGATGATTTTCAAAGATGTATATAATTATGGAACTAATATATATTTGAATATTTCATATATTAGGTCCAAACTAGTCCAATTTGAAGTTTAAAGCGCCCAACTTAAACAAAAAGAATGAAAAGCTAAAACTCTTCAGACTCATTATGAACTTGATAGGCTCACTATGAGCTCGTCAGTTATAGTGAACTCATCATAATTATACTAAACTTATCAAAGTTATAGTGAATTCATTAGAATCACATTGAACTTATGAGTCATAGTGAACTCACTAGAGTCATACTGAATTCGTCAATGTCATAGTGAACTCATTATAATCACATTGAACTTGCTAAAGCTATAGTGATATCACTAAAATCATATTGAACTTGTTATAGTCAGAAAGACCTCATTATATTCATGTTAAACTCATCAAATTTATAAAAAACACATTGGAGTCATATTAAACTCATTAGTCATAGTGAACTTATTATGTTCATGCTAAACTCATTAGAACCATACTAAACTAGTTAGAATTATAATGAATCATCAGAGTCATAGTGAACTTGTCAGCACTTATTCTACCAAGTAGGTAATTTCACCTAGCAAGTTGGTGACTTCATCTTGCAAGTTGGGGCTTCATCTAGTAATTGTCCATCTGCCAATTATCCACATGAACTCTTATGTACTATAGACTACATGAGTTTTATATTATAATGTATTTTCATATATAGCTTAAATGAGACATTTTCTTGTAGTGCTAAAAATTTAGATCAGACCTATAGGTAGAAGGTCAATGGAAGATTTTAGTCCGCAAAAAGCCATCAAAGGGCTTAATATTGTATTCTTGGCAATCTAATAAAATCTTAGAGCTTTTATGTTTAGGTGCTTTAATTTGGATTCTTATTCTCTCTAAACTCTTTCTTTCTTCTTCTTTTTTTTTTTAAATTTGTTTTATCTTATAAATCTTAATTTTTTCTCTACATGTAGCATTACCTCGAGGAAGCTCAACTCAAGCTCGAAAACTATTTTGTTTTATTGAAGTTTTTTATTTTTTAACAACCATACTCTACCTCTTTACTTTCATGTCTCCTTGCTTATCTCTTCTCTCCCACCTATTTTGTGCACCCTATCGGTGACTCCATTCCAATATACTCTAACACCATTATAGTATCATCTCTTTCAATTCAAACCATGTAAGCATGCCTCCTCTAGTTATGAGAAAGAGTAAATCTCTAGGCTTTAACCTACCAAATGAAACCGTTTTAATCATATCATACCTCATAATTTTCTCAATTGAGATTTTTTTATATAAACAAAATATTTGTTGCATATATGACTCTGATTATTTATCTCTAAATCAAATATTTTTTTACAATATTACGAAGAAAATCTCCCACGCTATTGCCACTAATATTATAATACACAACTACAATGATAGCAATTCTAGGTGTTTTAATTTTATTAAAAATATATTATATCACAATTTAACTAAAGCAATAAGATATATGTGAAAATATTGCTATATGAAAATCAAATTGATTATTATTAATTAATTATGATAAACATAGTTATAAAATTATTTATACAATTTTAATGGAATTAAAAAAATAATGATGCACTTGATATATTTTTATTAGCATTAACAAAGAAAGTCAAGGCTGATCAGTAAGCATAATCAAACAACCCGTAATCTTCAATTAACGTGGACTAAGCACGTTGGCTGATCGGCTCTTTAATTCGATTACGTTGCGCTAACGGCATACTATAAATTTCCTGGTTCAGCCCTGTCCTCCCTCGTCACCGAGTTCTTATTAGTTTTTCCCTTGAATCGTCATCATCGCGACGACCGAGATAAGGTGAGGGGGAGGAGCGATGACCATGTCGCCGATGACGCTAGCGGCGCTGCTGCTTTTGTTCGGGGTGGTTGGAGTCTCATCGGACGCTTCTGATCACCGCTACAAACCGGATAAAGTTGTCCCTTTGTACGCCAACAAGGTTGGGCCCTACCATAACCCTAGGTATGGATCTTGTTTCATTTTGCACTTATGATTTCGGGAAGCTGTTCTCGATTTAGATATTCTCTGGTCCGTCCATGATGCGAGGGATGCTAGGATTTATAGTGCTGTAAGCCTGTAACCGTGGTAGATCTGATAATGTTCTGCGGTATTTTTGTTGATTTTGTCTGCAGATGCTGGTGAACTGCTAAAATTATTTTGTTTGACAAGACTTGTAAATGAATTGTTTTTATATTGTTAGGACTTCGGAGTTTTAGTTCATTCTGAAAATGGACCTTTTTTGGTTGATTATATGAATTCCTTGCAAAGATCAGTCAAATTTAATGTGCTTTTCAAATCGTTCTTTCCTTAGAGTCTAAGTTAGCTTATGCCGATGAAGGCAGATCTCGCAACCATGTTGTGACTTGTTATTGCTCTGGGATGGTCTTTTTACAATTAGATGGTTCCCTATTAATTACCAGGTGTTTTTATTGCTTCAAATTGTTATTTTGTTGATATTTATTTCTCCATCTGCAACATTATGTAGTCGGATCAGAGTAGGCGGAGCTGGTTTCTTTGATTCTTCTCATAGCTTTTGCTGTTTTTGACATGGCAGTTTAGGGAAATAATGCAAGCTTCCTTTTTGGGATGTTTTACTTCTACGACCTTGGTCTTGCACTCATCAAATTTGAAATTTTGAGTACCAGGTGCCGATTGCGAAACCTGTTTAAAAAATTGATTATCTATTAAGATTCAAAAGATAAAAGTTAAATAGCAGCTTCATGATGGCTAAGTTTGTGCTTGAAATTTGGCTAAGAATGAAAAAAACAAAGGAAAATTGGCTCTCATGGTGGTTCTGCATCTTCTAAACCTACATATGGGGATCCCTAGGAATTTTTTTAGTCATCTATTATTCATTTAAATTGTTTATGTTTTCTTGATTATCTCTTTTCCTTTGCAGTGAGACTTATAGGTACTTCGATCTCCCCTTCTGTTCCCCAGGTGAGCACCGTCTATTTTCTTCCTCTCTCTGTCCAACTAATCCTCCTTGTCCATGACTTCTGTACCTTTCTCTTCCTCTTATGTTTTATAGCCCACAATTCTTATTTTACATATCAAAGCATGTGACAGAACCTGTGAAAGATAAACTAGAAGCTCTTGGTGAAGTTCTAAATGGTGATCGCTTGGTTGATGCGCCATACAAACTTGACTTCCGTGTTGATCATGAATCGGCATCAGTGTGCAAAAAACATCTCGCAAAAGAAGAAGTGGCTAAATTCAGGAGTGCAGTTGCTAAGGAGTATTACTTTCAGATGTACTATGACGACCTTCCTGTGTGGGGTTTCATTGGAAAAGTTGAGAAGGATTTCAGAACTGAGCCTAGCGAGTACAAGTACTTCCTTTACAGGCATATCATGTTTGAAATTTATTACAACAATGACCGTGTTATTGAGATCACTGCGCACACTGATACTAATTCAATGGTTGACATCACCGAGGATAAAGAGATAGATGTGGAGTTCATGTATTCTGCAAAGTGGAAGGAAACTGTTACACCTTTTGAGAAGAGGATGGAAAAGTACTCACAAACTTCTTCCCTGCCACAACACTTGGAGATCCACTGGTTCTCAATTATTAATTCTTGTGTTACAGTACTTCTGCTTACTGGATTCCTTGCCACGATCCTAATGAGAGTTTTGAAGAATGATTTTGTTAAGTAAGTGGCATTCTGAAAAGTTGATCTTGCTTATTAGTTAGCATTTCCTTCAATAATATTTGCAGTCTAGTGGACCAATTAATTTTATTTAGATTCTCTTAGACACATTTACAATTGCATGATAAACTATCAATTAGTTTCTTACTTTAGGTTGTAGGGTTGCAAGTGACTCTTGATTTTCAACTAGACCCTGATCATTTTGGTCTGCAGGCTGATTTGTTAACATGTTTTTTGAACTAATTATTTTTAGCTGTGAATCATCAATCTAGCTTGTTTTTTTTCAAGAAAACAAAATCTTTGAGAATTTATTCTCTCATTGCATTGGTGCAATGATCGGAAGAACTTTTTTGCAGAAATAGTGATGCAGTTTCAGATTTTAGCGCATTTTTTATTTTTAAGAAATCAAGAAATTAAAAAGGCTGGTAACCTTGAACTGTTTGAAAGTAGATATGGCATTCTCTGATTGTTTTTTGTTCATTTTATTGGCATTATTGTTTCATCTAGATATACAATAGTGTGCTATTGAGTAGAAGTTTACCGAGCCATCATTCATCAATCGAGAATGTAGGTGTTTGGGCTTTGGTCACATGAAATATTTTAATTGGACAACAATGAAGATATGTAGATTTATTCTTGAATTTCGAAAAAAAAAATGTTATTTCAAAGGATTGTGGCTTTTAAGATTTAGCTTGACTTCTTCCTTTATCTGTTGAAAAATTGATTTGTATTTTCTAGATGATCAGCATATGCCATCATAACGCCGGATGATCATATTCTATTAAAGAAAATATGCTTTTCTTCATTTTTTCAAGATTTGCAAATACATGTTTTTGTTTTCTGGGTCGGTCAGCAACTCATGCTATCCTCATTCTGTTTTATTTGATTAAGATACACACATGACGAAGAGACAGGTGATGATCAAGAAGAGACTGGGTGGAAATATGTTCATGGTGATGTTTTCAGGTTCCCCAAGAACAAGTCCTTGTTAGCTGCTTGTCTTGGTTCTGGTACTCAATTGTTTGCTCTGTAAGTATTCATGATCGAACATTTCCACCTATGTTATGTTCTCACCATGAGTATAATTAGGAGGATCTCAGTAATTATATGTGATCATTGATTGTTTAGTGTCAGGTTGTGGAACTATAGTAATTTAAATATTTTGAATCTCAATTTTTTTTTCTTGGCATGGTTTGCAGTACAATTTTTGTTTTTGCCCTTGCATTGGTGGGAGTATTCTACCCGTACAACCGGGGAGCACTGTTTACCGCACTGGTAGTTATTTATGCTCTCACATCTGGTATAGCTGGCTATACTGCTACTTCCTTCTATTGTCAGATGGAAGGATCGAATTGGGTAAGTTGTCGATTTACCGTATCTTCAAGTCGCTTGAACCCTTTTTTATGACTTCAATACTGGTGGCAGGTTAGGAATCTGCTATTGACAGGATTTCTTTTTTGTGGGCCTCTGTTCTTGACATTCTGCTTCCTTAATACTGTAGCTATTGCATATAATGCTACTGCAGCATTGCCATTTGGTACAATTCTTGTTATTGTTCTCATTTGGGCGCTGGTGACATCGCCTCTGCTCGTTTTGGGTGGGATAGCAGGCAGAAACAGCAAAACAGAGTTCCAAGCTCCTTGTCGTACTACTAAATATCCCAGAGAAATTCCACCACTACCTTGGTATCGAAGAACCATACCACAGATGGCAATGGCTGGGTTTCTTCCTTTCAGTGCTATCTACATAGAACTCTACTATATATTTGCCAGCGTGTGGGGTCACAGGATTTACACTATTTATAGCATACTCTCTGTGGTTTTCATAATTCTGCTCATTGTCACGGCATTTATTACCGTGGCAATGACCTACTTTCAGCTTGCCGCTGAAGACCATGAATGGTGGTGGAGGTAAGCTAATAATTGTTCTCTAATCTTCTACGCCAAACAAATGAGTTTACCCGCTCAATTGTGTTTTATGCTTAAGTTATCTTTTAAGGAATATGTTTTTTGTGTATGCTAAACTGCTGTGCTTTTTGTTATATCCGCCATTTTAGCTGAATGTCAATTTTGATTCCCTTCAGTTCTATTATCATTCTATGTTCTAGATATTTTAGGTTACGAATGTGTGAGAGGTTTTCTGAATTCAATACTGAATGATTTCAGATATGAAGAACATAGTTGATGACCGATAGAAGAAAACTTTCAGTTTAGTGTAGTATTTTTTTGACACATAATTCATTTTTTTTTTCTGTTTACTTGCCGGGATTTTGGTGTATTTTATTATTTAATTATGTTGTTTTTACCATGCCTTTTAGCTTTCTAGATATCAGTGATTATTCTAAAATATAATTGTTAGAATTTGAGAAGGGTAAAAATACCTTCTGCTTATTATACAAAATTATCCCTATTTATAGATCTATACAAGATGTCTTAATAAAGAAATAAATAACTTCTAATTGATACATAATTGCCTCAATATAATCCTTCCTAATTCAGCTACCCAAATATAGAAGGATATTGGTGTGATCCAAGTGAGCCTCCCACGGATTCTCATCCTGACCGTGGGATCAAATGCTAAGGGACGGCTGAGATTTTGACACTCCCCCTCAAGCTGGAGACCAGCTTGCAATTACTCGCTTAGAGGTAGAGCTGCATTGGTTATGGATAGGATATCAACCACCAGAGAAAGTCGGCAATGAAGGCCGATGATGGAAAACTATCCTCAAAATTCCGACAATTAAGGCCGGTTGTGGGAACTTGTATTCCTCGGAATTCCAGCAATGAAGGCCGGTGATGAGAACATCCTCAAAATTCCGGCAATGAAGGCCGGTGGTGGAAACTAGTATTCCTCAGCATTCTGGCAATGCAGGCCGATGATAGGAACCTGTATTCCAACAATAAAGGCCGGTAGAAGGAGTAATATTCCTCTAAATCTTGGCAATGAAGGCCACAACCACAAAACAGAGGGCACGCGCGGTTTGGACTTACTCGACTCTCGTTCGATATCCTACGGCAATGAAGGCCGATGGTGCAAAACAGAGGGCACGAGCTGTTTGGACCGCACGACTCCAACGGCAATGAAGGCCGCTTTCTTCTCTCTGCTTTCTTTGATTTGTATATCACAGGCGATTCCAAAATAAGATCCATTTGATCTTAAGTTACGGCAATAAAGGCCGATTTTTTTTTCTACAATAAAACTTGAAAGGCCCTTTTAATTTTAAATTGAACCTCACTGGACCGGATCGATCCAAAGCTAATCCAAAGCTCAGCAAGGGCCTGCACGCAGGGAGCCACTTGCTAGGAGTCTTCTTGCTTCGCAGGAGGCTTCTTTGACTCCTTCGTATTCTTCCTTCCTGTCCGATTGGGCTCCCTGACTGTTCGACTCAACTCCTTCGGTGCTCCTCCCTTCCTCTCGGGTCGGATCGGGATACTTGCACCGCACGGTTCCGCACAGGATGCTCACCACGAGAGCTTCAGTGTCGTCCTTCGGGTGCATCGTAGGAGGTGCTTCTTCGGCTCCTTCGTGGCTGTTCAACAAATCCTTCAACGACTTCTCCCTTCTGTCGGATCGGAAGGTACGACGCTTCTTCGACTCCTTCATCTCCTACGTGGCTGTTCGACTAGGTTCCTTCGACGATCTTCCCTTCCTATCGGATCGGGATGCTCGCCACGTTCTACATGGTTCCGCCTATTCAGCTGCAAGAGGGAGCCTTGGTGTCGTCCTTCGGTTTCGACAACCGGTCGGCTTCTTCGTGTCGACACTGGATGAGGCAGTCACAACTGGCTTCTCCAATCGCAAGCGCCGCACAGTTCTGTCTTCCGATCCCTTCTTCTTCTTTCTTTTTCTCCTTTGGCGATCTACGACTTTTCTTCCATGGCAATAGGATTCGGATCCGGTCGACTTCTTCGTGTCGACCGTGGATGAGGCTTCGGGTTCGTCTTCCGTTAGGCTCCGGCAAGACCACTTCCCGCAAGCGGTATTTCTCGGACACGATCTTTCTCGCTCGATCGGCGGCAAAGGGACGGGAGCTCGCTCGTGCGGTATCTCCGCTTCGTCTCGGCTTCTTTTCCTCTCGGATTTTTCTTTTTCTCCTCCGTTGATCTAAGATCGTCTTTCGACGGCAATTAAGGCCGTTGGCTCTGATACCATGTTAGAATTTGAGAAGGGTAAAAATACCTTCTGCTTATTATACAAAATTATCCCTATTTATAGATCTATACAAGATGTCTTAATAAAGAAATAAATAACTTCTAATTGATACATAATTGCCTCAATATAATCCTTCCTAATTCAGCTATCCAAATATAGAAGGATATTGGTGTGATCCAAGTGAGCCTCCCACGGATTCTCATCCTGACCGTGGGATCAAATGCTAAGGGACGGCTGAGATTTTGACAATAATTGTTTTTAATTAGCAACTCATGTGGCATGCAGCCTGTTGCTTTCCTCTAAAATTTGGTTTGACAGCTTTTTATTTTTTGCTTTTCTTTTGAATGACATAAGATACCACAATTCTAAGTTGTGCTGCAGAAATGCAGCAAAAAAGTTCTACATGTGCTTGCCCCCGTGCATGGCTTCACGACAATGGAGAACCCGGGAGGATCTAGAACTCATTTTAGACAATCTACAAGGCCTTTCCGTTCCAATTTGAGCCCATCATCCAAGGATCTATGAATGAAAAACATTCTTTGATTTTAGTATATATTTTGATATATCAATTACTGACGAAAAGGATTTTATAGGAAAAACCAGCCCAAACAATCCTCAAATATGGTGCCATAAAAACAAATGTGTAGCAAGAGTATTATTCAAATATCTTGCCTATATTTGAGCAATCATTTTTCATTCCTTAAAAGTTATGGTTATTCCCTAAAATTTAGGAAAATGTAGTTGCTTTTAATTTGTTTTTCTTGAATTATGAAAGTTCTTTGCACAATTCTTGCCTTGAATTTAGTGTTATTAATGAATTGATTTAAGGTATAAGATCTATTTATATGTGTTCTTATGCATATGAGATAAGGATTGATTTAATCTACTTATCCATATCCTACTTCAATAAATAAGGAAATAACGGGCGCATTGTTGTGGACAATTTGATTTTTGATTGAATAAAGTTTGCAATTCAAGCTTGCATTAAAAATTTGATGTAAAACGTACATGCAAATATGAGTTAATGAATTTGCACGCTTAATATGTAGAGCACAATAATTATAAACTTTATATTGATTTTGAACGACAAAAGAAAACACAAAAAGCGGTAAGACAAGCTTAGGCTAAACCACATGCCTAGGAGTTAAGATCGTAAAATAGCCAACTTAATCTACGTTGCATGCATGGATGATTTTCAACAAGATATCCCTAGATTAACAATGAGACAAGTCACTATGAGAAATTCCACTCATTCAACTCTTTAAGATTACTAGGTTTTAGCGGAGATCAATTAACAAGCTCCATAAGAATCCATTAAGCCACGAATTAGGGTAACTAAGAAAATAAGCGACTAGGGAAAGAGTTCACCAATATCAAGTAATATGCAAATATGGGTCTTCAAATCAGCAATCCCCTTAGCCTCAATATTCTGGACAGCAACCTGGAATAGCTATGGAATTTTGGATGGCAACGGAAACCTTTTGGTTGAGAGATAATGTGTAGATATGCCTGCAGAAATCTGTGGACAGCAATCTAGCCTTCATGGATCAGCAGTTTTGCAAAGGTATTGGGCCAGAATTCAATGATGAAGACGTCATAAACTTCTGGACAGCAGGATCACTCCAGGACAACAGGATCACTCCAGAAGGAACTCTGTTTTCAGCAATCACGGGGAAGATTTGGAAGGGCTAACAAGTGGAGGGAGGAGGGGAATGGGATGACTGGCTAGAGCAGGGAGGGGAGCAAGGCTTGGGCCAGATTTGGGCTCCGTAGTTAGGAAGCCAAGGATGGAAAATCTGAAATGTATTTCAGATTTGGTGAATTAGGAATTAGGAGGGAGTTTGAATTTCAAACCCAAGAAATTAAGGAGAATAAAGGGGTGGCTGATTTGGGGGAGGAGGGGCCGGCTGATTAATTGAGCATTAATGGGTTGATTGGAGACTTGATTGGGAGCTTATGATAAGATTTTTGGAATAGAAACATGCGGGTTTTGTTGAAAAAGCTTGTGAGCTTGTTCCACCTCTCCCCTTCTTCTCCTATAGGATAGCTTGCGAGCTATGCCTCTCTTCGTCTCAGCTTCTAACCTCTTCTTCGCTCCATGGTGATCACTCCAAATGTATCATTCTTCTCGATGAATGCAAGCTTCTTTAGGTGTGGTCTTTATTTGTGTTTGTAAGAGTTAGAAGTTTTAAATGTCTTTTTATTATGATATAAAAGTGTCTTTTTAAGTATTTTTGTGTCTTTTCTTTTATCTAGGAAGTCTAGTCTTTGCTCGCAAAAATTTTGGTCCCTTCCCAAATTTTTGCTTGTATCAAATTGATATACGAGCGAGTTAGTATATCCTAGGTTTGGTGTCATGCCAGTTGTCATGTAGGTTTTGTTTTTGAGTCATGAGTCATGGTCCATGCAATCAATCTTCGGAAGCCTCAGGACAAGTTCAAAGTAAACTCAAGCTTCATCAGGAGATGAATTCTTTTAACCGGAGGAGAATCTGATGTAGGCAGGGGAGGGGGTCAAAATAAGTTGGGTTTTAAATTTTGGTTGAGTTTCTAAAATCAGCTCATTAATGAGCCTCTTCTACTTATTTAGCTCATTAATTGGAGAAATTTTATACTTAAAAGCTCATTATGTGGAGTTAAATCTTTGTCTCTTTGGTTTCCCCAAGCTTGTACCTCTTCCCCTCCCTTTTCCTTCTCGGTTTTCCCTTGTTGGCTGGTTTTCCAAGCCTGCTGCCTTGTCTCCTGTGCTGGCTGTTCGGGTCCCTTGCTGGCTGGTTTCCCGTGAGTTGTTGCCTTGTCTCCTGTGCTGGCTTTTCGGGTCCCTTGCTGGCTGGTTTCCCGTGGCTGTTTAGGGGGAATTCCGTGGACTTTTTCCCTGTTTTCTGTGCAGTTTTCCTGCTTCTGTTTTGCTGTCTTTTGGCCTTCTATATTCCATGATTTAATGAGATAATTTAGTAGTTTTAGGTGGCTGTTTGGCTGCCTTTTTCTTCTATAAATAGGAGGTGTTCTGGGATGTTAAAGGCTTGCTTATGATGAGATTTTTAGAATAGAAACCTCTGGGTTTTGTTGGAAAAGCTTGCGAGCTTGTTCCACCTCTCCTCTTCTTCTCCTATAGGATAGCTTGCGAGCTATGCCTCTCTTCATCTCAGCTTCTAACATCTTCTTCTCTCCATGGTGAGCACTCCAAATGTATCCTTCTTCTCGATGAATGCAAGCTTCTTTAGGTGTGGTCTTTATTCGTGTTTGTAAGAGTCAGAAGTTGTAATTGTCTTTTTATTATGATATAAAAGTGTCTTTTTGAGTATTTTTGTGTCTTTTCTTTTATCTAGGAAGTCTATTCTTTGCTCGCAAAAATTTGGGCTCGCAAAAATTTGGGAAGCCAAATTTTTGCTTGCATCATAATTTCAGATTTCTATTCTCCCTCCCTAATCCCCACCTAAGCCCACCCGCCCCTTCTCCCCTTCCACTCGAGCCCTCTCTCCTCCCTCCCTCTTGGCCGGATTCCTCCCAAGTGACGGCTCCCCCTCCTCAACGTTTCTACGCACAACAAGGTGTCCCCATGGTCATGCATGTCCGATATGGAGCGTGACCATGGATTCGTGATTGATTGTCAAGGAGATATCGACGTCATACGATCGCCATTCTTCGACATGGGATTCAGATTCGACCATACCGTTGAAGATTACTTAAGCCGTATTCTTTCCACCCTCGTGGACGTCATCGACGAGCAACTACCGATAGATGATTGGACAATCACCAGGCGCCCAACCGCTTCCCCAACTCCGATTTCTTCCCCGACGACTAGTCCCCTCAACGTCACTTGTTTGATAGTGGCATCCTTAAGTGTGCTTGCAATTCTCCTCCGCTAGCCTCCACTTTCAAGAGATTGAGTGAAGGATCTCTAGGTGAATGATCTATTATTTAAACTTGAGGCTTGTGTTACATTTGCTATTTGCATTACCTGCTAGTCATTAGTTGTTATTTTGCTAGTCCTACTATTCTCAAATTGTAACAAATTACTATTACTTAATCTTTCAATGTCATATTCTTAAACCTTCACTTGAGCAAACAAAGAGTTTATTGGTAGCAAAGCAAAGTTCATCACTTCTATTAATATCTTAATTGCAATTCTTGGTTATCGCATTTAGTTTCACATCAAAATGTGAATATTTTACTGTCACTTTGGGGAAAAAATATAACTACGTTCAAATAATAGAAAATTTCACTTCAATAAAAATAAGGTTTTCCATTTATTTCGTCTTAATACAAGTTTGGGTAAAAGGAAAAATCTTAAGATGATGCTAGTTTTGGAATGAGTTGCAAGTACTCAAGAAACTCTAATTACTCTTTTTGAAATAAATCGAAACCTCGAATACCAATAAATAACAAAAAAATAGCTATATGGAAAAAATAAAATGAATAATGTACATTTAATTAGTAGTATCACATTATGGATTCAAAATGAATAAGAGGAAAATGAAGGAGACGATCAAGCTAGAGAAGGCATGGATCTTACACTAGAGATGCTAGATTGTGTTTTGATCCTACAACAAAGACGGAGATGCGCCTCTGTTGATGGAGTGGTGCGTTGCTGATGGATATTGAGCTTGAGCATAGGTGATGAAGAAAGCTGATCATAGGTGATCGAGATGAAGTTGATGTCGGTTGAGTCGTGATTTGTTCTGCAATAAATAACCATTGCGATCTTTTGGCTTTAATGTTTTGTTAGACCGGTCCGCTGGACCGGTCCAGCCGGTTCAGGCGGGACCGGTTCACGGGAGAATATCGCGAACAGGCGGAGAAAGCTTCCGCCTGGGCGGAAGCCGCGCGTGACGCACGCCTTGCGGGACGGTTTTTGGAAGGTTTTTGAATGGATTTTAGGAGGGAAATTGATTGTAGGGATTGTTTAGGAAATTCCTTTTGAATTGTATGCATTAAATAGTATATTTTCCTAGGTTTTGAGCATCTTGAATTTGGCTGAAATTTGAGATCTCTTAGATTTTGGTTTCTTTGGGCTCTAGCGGCGTCTAGAGATTTGGGAGAGATCGATCCTCCTCTCGAATTGAGGATCAATTGTATCTTTTCTATTCTGTTTCATCTATCAGTAAAAATACAAGTCTTTTCTCCACGCTTTTCTCTCCGATTTGCTATTTTTCCACTGTTTCTCGGCTGATTTCTGCTGTGGACAGCAGTTTTACATTGGATCTACTTGGTTTTGGTGAGAAACACTTGGAAATCCAAGTGTTTCCTATCATGTTTTTCCTCACTGTTATTCTCTTATTAAACATTGATTCAACTAAATCAAACCAAAACTGTACTCGAGTGCTTTTTATGCTTGCTTGCTTCTGATAGGAATTACTTGAGTTCGCAAGTAACCCTAAGGTAATACTTGAGTTCGCAAGCAATCCTAACTCAAACCAGTAAAAAAACAACAGTAAATCTGCTGTCCACAGCAGTTAAACAGCAGGAAATAGGGAAATCGGAGAGAAAAATACAAGCAGAGGCTTGTATTTCACTAGAAGCAAAAGCAAATAACAAAGATACAATTATTCTTCGATCCGAGAGGAAGAACGTACTCTCCACATCTCCAGCAATGCCAAGAGCCCAAGTACAAACCCTAGATCTCAAATCACCCTTAAGAGTGTTCTTTCCCTTTTAATCTCCACTCTCCAATTTCAAGTGCTCTTTCGCAGCGTTGCTAGAAGTTAGGCTACTTAGCATTAGGATTGAGGTGCTAAGGCTGCATGGAAGGTTTAAGGAAAGTTTCTCCACGAAAGGTCGCAAAAATGCATAAACAGGGGATCTACTTATTTGGCATTTAATAGATATCTTTCAATAAAATGATGTTTAGTACTCATTCATTTTTTTGCTCTGCTCCCTGCTAGAAGTTTGAGTTATAGTTTTTTTTTTTCAGTTCAACTAAAATTGGATTATTAATCTTTTAAAGTTATGCAACTAAAAGTATGTTGTAGTGGACTTACCTACCTCTAAAATTGCTAATTAGATGTTTGTGCTACACTTAGCTTGTGTGGAATCAAAAAATTTCTCTGTTTCTTTTATGACAGAGCACTCCTTTGTGGAGGATCTACCGGCTTGTTTGTGTATGCATACTGCTTTTACTACTATTATGCTCGGTCGGACATGTCAGGATTTATGCAGACATCCTTCTTTTTTGGTTACATGGCCTGCATCTGCTACGGTTTCTTCCTCATGCTTGGCTCAGTAGGTTTCAGAGCCTCACTGTTCTTTGTTCGCCACATATACCGGTCGATCAAGTGCGAGTAATTCTTGCAACCCGAACAAGGAAATGCAGTTTCTTATAAATTCTCCAGCGCAGATGAAGGATGACGAATCGTATGTTCAGTAAGCATTGTAATCTGCGTCTTATTTTTTGAATTTAGGATGTCACCGCATTGCTTCCAAACCTGTTTTTTTTGTCAAATAGTTAATTTTACCCAATGAACTTTTATCTGAATTATTTTTGTTGTACTCTGCCTGCTTAAATTCTAGTTGATCCTTTTCAAAAGAAATAGTTGTCAATATTGTTGTTATTTCCGAAAACTACAAGGAACTGGTTACCTGCTAGTTATGTAAGCAGCATGAAAATTCATGGGTTATTAGCATTACACCATTTGGCATTATCAGGGATAAAAATAAATTTGGGTGAGAATATCCTGATCACGCCTTTCACGATTCGCACGAGCAAACGCTAGTTCGCCTTTTGTGCTTCGCCAGTTCGCCTTCCACGGTCCGCTGGTCGTAATTGAGCCGAGTATCTTTTGGTTTGAACTTGAGCTCGATAACACAACGAGCTAGAGCTCGAAACTCGATAAGCTCAACTCGCGAGCTCGTTAACGAGTCGAGTTGTAGCCGGCTTGACTCATTTACCCCCTAATCTTGACCCAATTTGTATCCCTTTATCAATCAGTGCTATTACTTTTGTTTTACATAAATTTCTATTAAATTACGTTCTTTGTTTTTAGTTTTAAAAGTCAAGATTTATCAATGTCACGTAAGTGTTTTTTCTTTTTGGGTAAATGTCACGTAAATGTAAACGAGATGCAAATTTAGCTCTGCATGCTAGTGTCAGTACTGGTATTAGTAAGGATTATCTACTATAGAAAAAATGCTATTCTCTCAACAAAGAAATGATATTCTTTCTGCTTTCCTGTTTTTGATTAGTCATTGAAAATGTTTTGGGCAACAAATCTGTTATGAAGTATGGAAGTTTGGCCATGCTCTGAATAGCCAGTGGAATAAATATCATTTCAGGCTTTGTTTGGGACGACTTTCTTACTGTTTCTTAAAGCAGCTTTTTAGTGTCAAAATTAAAACTTCTATAATAGAAAGTTGTTTTAAGAAGCAGTAAGAAAATCGTCTCAAACGAAGCCTTAATCATCAAAACTTTCCTGTAAGAATTTTTTGTAGGAGCAGCTGTATTCTTCTGAGAATATATATTATCTCGTACAGTTTATACAACACAATAAGGCTGCAACTAATAGCTAGTTTGGGCTATACTAAGTTGTGAACTAGGCTTGCAAATGAGATTCTGGTAGGTTTGTTTCTGATTAGATTTCACTGAGTATATTTTTGGTGGATCCAATCTAATTATTAACCCATTTACTATATGGGGTCAAAATTTTCTGCGAACCATTAATCCTTCTGAGAAAACGATGGGGAGAGGGGACCATAAGAGGATGCCAGATGCAGCTTCTTGGCTTATGCAATATCAATGGCAGAGGTGACAGTGGGAGGACTAATGACTCATTACATGAAATCAGCTACATAAATCTTTTTTTTTTATCTACTGTCTTAATAAGAGTTAAATTATAATTTAAATCTATGTTATAATCAAGTTTTCTTAGGTCAATATTGACATTTCTTAATATTGGTTTGGAAGGCCGACATTTCGTATGTTATATGTCATGAGAGCTACTCTACTCTCATAATTGGGTCATTAGCAGGTCGATGTTTTGTTTAACTAAATCATGTAAGGCGATTCTTTTTAATCTTATTAGAGCAACTCCAATCTTTTTATGGATATACTCATGTCATATTTTATCTCCAAGTGTAATATCATCACTCTTCCACCTGAGCATCCTTCTCTCTACAACTATAACCTAGTTTTATGTTTCTTTTTTAATGACTAACATTTTGCGCCAAACGCCATTAGGTTATCAGACTTGATTATTTATTTATTTATTTTTTTAAAAAGGTCCAGTTCCGAGAAAAAAAAAACTAACATGATGAATGCATTTACTTTTTTTCCATGCAAGAATTAGAAACCCATCTATGCTATATTAAATTTTGATTTCAAAGAAGGGAAAGAAAAAATATTTTAATTAATGATCCAGTAGGATGATTGTAGTTTTTTATAAATGTGATTGTAATGCGGCTGTAGAGAAAGCAATTTTTTTAAAAAGTTGTAGAAAATAACCTTCCAGTATAAAAATATTATTGAAAATAATAAAAGTGTTCAAATAAAAAATATGATTGTGATTTGAAAAATAAAATAGTAAGAAGTTCTAAATAAAATCTAAGGTTTTGTTTGGGATAGCTTTCTTATGGTTTCTTAAAACAGTTTTTTAGTATAAAAATTTTAATTTTTATATTAAAAGTTGTTAAATAGTTGATTTAAGTAGTAATAAAGCCGTCCTAAATGAAGCCTAAGTGTAGTTACACAGTTAATCATCACAGAAAAAATATTTGATTAGTATACCAATAAATATACAAACATAATTGTGTTTATTTGACAGTAAACTCTGTAGTATTTTAATATGCTCCAAAAGGTCCTAATTAGACTAGTATTTTTAGAATAATTTTATGAATTAAAAAAAAAAATCATTGACTAGAATTTCTGTCATAGATTGGCTGATATAATATTATTAACAACAATATTTCATGATCTTCCCAAAGCATGCAAGAGTAGCTATTAGTGAACACCTCGACACATTAATTTTGATTATTAAGAGTAGCATGTAATTAGAGTTTCGTTTGAGATAGTTTTTTTATTGTTTTTTAAAACAGGTTTTTAGCATAAATTTTTAAATTAAAAATTTATATATTAAAAAGTTATTTTAGAAAGCGACAAGAAAGTTGCCCCAAACGATGCCTAAATTAGAATACACGAGAAAACATCTATTTTGAAATGATAAAATGCATTGAATGGATTCTTATATGAACTAAAGTTTCAAAAAAATTGCATAAAAAAGAATTAAAGGAAATATATATAGAGGGGTATGTAATTTCTAATTTATCTAAAACTCAAAAAATCATAGAAAGGAGGAGACACCACACCAAGAAGATGCTCACAATTCCAAATATTTTGGAAGAGAGAGAGAGAGAGAGTGGTCAAAATTTAGCTCTTTCATTTTATATTAATAACATGCATTGAATGGACTCTAATACGTTCTAAACAGAAAAGACCTATATAAAAATAGACATTAATTGAAATATATAGACAATTAGGTTATTCTTACTTTGACTAAAACTCGAAAATTATGAAGAGAAGAGACATAAGTTTCGTTTGGGATAGTTGTCGTACTACTTTTTAAAACAGCTTTATAAAGAAACTTTTGTTCTATAAAACTATTTAGAAAGCAAGAAGAAAATTGTCCCCAACGAAGCTATAATTAAACGATGTGAACAATTTCAAACATTCAGGAAGAAAATTGTATTTAATTGCTATATGAAATTAACGAAGTGGTCACCTACGTTGGATATCGGTATTGAGTCGTCGGTTATACCGATCTGGATTTCGTTTCCTCGTCTTCGTCCTCATTTCTTTTCTCCACGAATTCTTTTTGGACTTGGCGGTTTATTTGGCAAGCCCCTAAAAATTGATGAAGCAACTGCTGTTGGTTCCCGTCCATCCATTGCTCGTGTTTTAGTAGAGCTAAATATAACTAAATCCTACCCTAAACAAGTTTGGTTAGGTTTGGAATCTTTAGGTTATACTCAAGAGGTGGTTTTTGATGATTTTCCTCATTTCTGTGCTGTTTGTAAATGTATTGGCCACTCTCAAGGAAATTGTCGTCCTGCTGCGCCTGTGATTCAGAACTCTTCTCCCCCCCTAATGCTAATTTAGGTGTTGATAATGCTGATAATGTTACTGCTCATACTGTTTTGGAGTGTGAGAATGTTAATGCTGTATTTGTTCCCGAGGTTTTACCCGTTGTTGATTCACCATCTTTTCCCTTGCTGCTTAGGGGGGTTTCTGTTTCGTTGATGGATGTTAATTGTGAGGATTTGCTTAATGCCGTGATCGGTGTTGTTCGGCCACTGTTCTGGTGCCTGAACCTGGTGTGGTTTCTCCTGTTTTGGTTCATATATTTGGATCCCGAGCCTAATTTGGGTGTTATTGTTGAGGCTATTCCTGTAGTGAGGCTAAATGATTCTGGTAACGTTGAATCGTCTGGTTTGGTGGATCGTGAACGATTGCAAAATTTGGAGTTGCCTGTGGTTCCTAATGAGGTGTGTGATCGGGTGGTTAATTCGGATGTGCAAGGAATGCTGGTTAATTCTCAAAATTTTATTAATGTTCCTGTGAACTTGATGGCCCACCAAGCTCTTATGTGCCAAGTAGGAGGGAATTCTGGATTGGATGTTAGGTCTCATGGTGATTGGTTGCACTATTCATCTGAATATGAATCTGATTCCGATTCATACTCAAATATTCACGGTGGTTCGGATCCTGGCAATGAATTTAAAATGGTTCGCAGTCGTCCTCTCAATGTTGCTCCTTGTGGAAATTTCGTGGTAGAGGTGGTAGAAGAAGATAATTATGTGTCTTGTTTGAGTTTTGCTTTTGCTGTTTCGGATTGCTTTTTTATCGGATTCGATTGGTTGGAGGTTTGCGGGGCTATGATGTGGCTGGGGCTCATGTCCTCGTCGTCTAGCTAGTGGCAACCTTGGGTGTGATCCTCATTGGTTCGTTCAGTACGCTTTAATCACCTAATTGGATGGTCCTGGTGCGACTTCAGGGATGCTGGGAGCCTCGGCCTTTAACTGAGCCTTCTCTTTGGAGTTGTTTCTCCTTTTATTGTTTTTGTATTTTTTAGTTGTTGTTTTCTGCTCTTATTGTGTTTCATTACTGTTGTTGTTGTAATCTCTTTTATTATCTAATATATTGGATGTTTTAAAGAAAAAAAAAAAATTATCCCAAACAAAATCTTTATCATATATATTTTGTAAGCTTTCATCAAGCCTGATTCCTTATAAAAACGAACCTTGCAAGACTTCGCCTGGTCTCTCAGTGTAGAGAGAATATTCAGCTATGTCTACACTTTGAGAATAATTAATCTTAATTA